GGAGGAGGAGGAAGAGGGGGACCTCAGACAGATACAATGCCATACTGCCCACACTCCAGACAAGCTGTTGCCAGTCTCCAGGTGACAGCTGGAGAGCTCTTAAAGCTTTGGTGCTAATTCAAAGTGTTGCAATTTATTGACAGAGTTTTGGAAAACCTTTAGGAAAACCTTTAGGAATTGTTTGGTGCATCAAAGTTCCCCAGGAGCCCAAAACAGAGTAGTGTTTTGGAAAATCTTTAGGAATTGTTTGGTGCATTTACGATGGGGCTCCTGGGGAACTATTGTTGCCAATCTTGGCCCAGCAGCCATCAAACCATTCTCTTCAACCCCCTGCTGTGCAGCTGACTTTCCCCTAGGGTTGCCAATCTCCAGGTGGGACCTGGAGATCTCCCACTGTTACAATTGATCTCCAGATGACAGAGATCAGTTCCCCTGGAGAAAATGGATGCTTTGGAGGGTAGACCCTATGACATTATACCTGCTGAGTCCTTCCGCCCCTCCGCCCAATGCTGCCCTCTACAGAATCCACCCCCCAAACCTCCAGGTATTTCCCTCCTTAGAGCTGGCAACCCTACATTCCCCTCAGTGCCTGTTGGTAGGCAACTAAGCTTGGTCCTGTCACCTACTTTGGCCTTTGGGAGAAAACACATTGGGGCCAGTCCTGATAGGGTTGCCAACTCCAGATGGGAAATTCCTGGAGATTTGAGGGATGGAGCCTGAAGAGGGTGAGGTTTGAGGAGGGGTGGGACCTCAGACAGGTACACTGCCATAGACTCCACCCTCCAAACCAGTCAGTCCCATATAGGGAACCATTGTTGCCAATCTCCAGGTGAGGGCTGGAGACCACTCAGAATTACAACTGCTCTGCAGAAGGGAGGGCAGAAGTCAGCTGAAGTCAAAGGGGCAGATAATGGTAGGTTGATGGTTAGCTGGGAAGGAGATGGGGTTGCCAACTACATGCTGACAAATTCCTGGGGATTTGAGGGGTGGAGCCTGGAGAGGGTGGGGTTTGCAGAGGGGTGGGACCTCAGACAGGTAGAATGCCATAGACTACACCCTCCAAACCAGCCACTTTGTCCTGGGTAACAATTGTTGCCAATCTCCAGGTGAGGGCTAGAGATCACTCACAATTACAACTGCTCTTCAGGTAGCAGAGATCAGTTCCTCTGGAGAAAACAGTGGACTCTGTCATTATACCCTGCTGAGGTCACCACAGCAAATTGACACTGTTTGCCCAAAGCCAGAGCCTCTTTCTAGATCTCGTTGTATTGCTTTCACAACGGGCTTTACTGCTAGTATGTAAATAAAATAATTATATGTTAATAAAACAACAATCATACATGCAAATACAGGTATTAGTGTAGGAGAAACTTGAGGGGGAAAGGTAATACCTCCCCTACACTCCAAAGTGGTACAATCCATTTCCCACCTCTGCCTTTCCCTAGGGACTTGGAGATCTCACAGAATTACAACTGATCTCTAGAGGACTGAGAACAGTTCCCCTGGAGAAAATGGCTGCTTTGGAGGGTGAATTCTATCGCATTATACTTCACTGAGGAATTTCGCCTTCCCGGACCCCGCCCTCTTCAGGCTCTGCCCCCTAATCTCCAGGAATTTCCCAACCCAGTGCTGGCGACCCTACATTACCCCCTCATTCTCCCACACATGTGAGCCAGGCTTAATCCTCTAGAAGCATGCTTACGTCGGTTAAGGCCGCGTTGATGTAGTTGTTGCTGTCTCCATCCATGGAGATGAGGAAGGGGAGGCACCGGTCTGGAGGCAGGACATCCATGCTGCGATTCTTTTCCCGATTGCGTGGCAGAAGAGCGATGCTGCACTCCTCCACGTCCAGGTGGGGTGTTACAGAGTTCAGAGTCTGCTGGACACAAGGAAACCAGGTTAGGTAGCATCGTGCGATTCCAGAGACAAGAGACACTTTCTGCTTATGTGGTCTTTGTGAGGGAATCCCACTGTTTTCAATAGAGTTCAGTCCCTGGGAAATGTGTACAAGATGAACTGTGACTTTTAGGGCCAGAACAGCAGGGATCTTTTTATACATACTCTGTGATATTCATGTCTGTTGGCCAAGGTAAATACAATTGCTATCAGTGTGGTATAGCAGTTAGTGTGTCAGACAAGGATATGGGAGACCTGGGTTCAGATCCGGGCCCAGGGCATGAAGATTGGTAAGAGATCTTTGGCCAGTCACACACTCTTAGTCTAAGCTAAGTCAATGTGATTGAAAGGATAAAATGAGGACAGGAGAACCATGTATGTTGCTCTGAACTCTTGAGAAGAAGAGATAAAAACAGACTTGACAGACCAACATTCCCCAACCTTTTTGAGCCTTCAGGCATCTTTGGAATTCTGACACAGAGCAGTAGAGCCAAACACAAAATGGCTGCCATAGGTGATGGAGCCACACACACAATAAACCCAAGTGCAGGGGAGAAGAACAGTAATTATAACTGGGGAAGAGGCATGCATGAGAACAAAGCAAACAACGTGGTGGCAGCTACCACTAAAACAATGTCATTTTAATGAATCTGGATAGCCAGTCAGATCTTCAGCGGCCAGTCAGAGCACATAGCACAGAACCCTCTCATCTCCTCTATGGACAATTTTGAATTTGTCATCCTTCCTGCTTGGATTTCACATCCCCATTGTGTAAACTGAACCCATGCATTTGGGGGCCATTTTCTGCCTCCCCCACTCCTATGGTGATTCCATCCCCTCCTTTGCTTCCATGTGCTCACCTGGAACTCCTCCCGCAACTGTGATGAGTTGCTCTGCGGATCTATCCTCACCATCTCTTTGTATGTAGGCATGAACTCACTGACAGGGATACTGGTCTCTCCACAGAGGCAGGCTTCCAAGATGGCATCATGGATGAAGACGTACTGCTCCTGGCATGAAGAAAACCGCAAGGTTAGCCTAGAAATAGCTAGGGAGTGTGAGGCTAAGGAAAACTGGGATGTGAGGACTCTTTTTCTGCATCTAGTAATCAGATTTGAATATCCCATGATCAAGCTACACCTGCACACACAATTGCCAGAGAACCAGGAGAGAATCACAGACCCAGAAGAAAACAATTTTCTCACCTTGAGAGATATCTGGGAGATACAGGGTTCCACTAACAGAGGGTTCCACTGTTCCACTAACAGAAGGCATTTTCATCAGTGGAACAGACCTCTCCTTCCTCCTGCTGCAGTCCACTGATGTCCCCAAAATGCTGCTCCTTGGGGACAGGAGACCTTCAAGAATTACATGAGGGTCAAATCAGGAGTCTGCATCAGGAAGAGGAAACTGGTGGAAATTACACCTCCTCTTCCATTACTAGAAAATTTAGCCTGGCTCCAACCTACAGCTCAGTACAGTTCATGGTGCATGGTGATCTTCTGACTTTTGAAGTCTAAACAGGGACTTCTTCACGTGTATACAGCAACTCCAGCCAGAAATCTACATGGTCACTCTGACCACTACCTCACATGTGCAGTCAGCCGCTGGTCCCACTTTTCCACACAGGTTAGCAAGAAGACCCACAACAGCCAACTACATGCAATCATGAAGTCATCACAGGTGCCACACAAAGTCAGTTGGTTAAAGTTGCTGGAAAATAACATTAATCAATTCTAGATTAAGAATGGAAGAAGAGCCATGCTGGTCAGACCACTGGTTCTTCTAGTCCCACATTCTGTTTCATATGGTGGCCAGCTATTTTGGGAGGGAGATAATACGCTTTTTGTATGCAGAAGGTTCCTGGTTCAATTAACTGGCATCTCCAGTTTTTTTTTAAAAAAATCAAGTAGTACAAGATGTGGAAGACCTCTGCTTGAGACCCTAGAAAGTAGCTGCCATTCAGTATCGCCAAGACTGCAGAGCATCTGCTTGGCATTGAGAAGGTTCCAGGTTCAGTCCCTGGCATCTCCAGTTAGAAGGTTTAGGTAGTAGGTAATGTAAAAGACATCCTGGAGAGCCACTGCCAGGCTGAGCAGACTATGCTGACCTTGACGGACCAATGGTCTGATTCAGCACAAGGCACCTCTATGTATGTTTATGTGTGACTCTGACAGACCGACTGGTCTGACTTGGTAGAAGGCAGCTTCATGTGTTTCTGTCAGGTGCCTTGCAAACACCATCTTGCTCCCTCTCCTGCACACAAGCCAAAACACTTCTGTAACCAGCACCACCCCAGCCCTGCCCTACCTCTGTCTGGATCATGTTGATTCTTCGTGAGCACAGTGTCTTCACACAGTTGTAAATGTCCACAACTCCTTCGCACTCTGCCATGTCCAGCATCACATCCAGGACAATGTAACAGCCGGTCCTTCCGGTGCCAGCACTGCAAGGAGTTGGGTGTTGTGGGGGAGAAAACAGCAAGTCACTTAATAGTCCTTCAGACCCACCACATCCCAATGATACCTCCAGACCTCTGCTCCTCTGCCTTTAACACCAGGCTGGATTGCAAACACTGGTATCTCTCCAGGCAATGACAACCTCAGACTCCTAGTTTCTGCAATCCAAGCTGCCATTAAAGGTCAGGCCAGGTGGTGATTTTCTGATCAGCCTTCTCTGTTGTGGCCCCCACCTTCTGGAACGGCATGCCTGAGGAGGTCAGGAAGGCACCCACTTCCTGGCTTTCTGCAAACTATGCAAAACTGAATTATTCCTCAGCAGGCAGTAGAGTTGCACTGTACCTAATGAGTCACAAAGTTACTTGGAAGAAGCACTAGGGACTGTGGTGTATACTACTGTGTATAGCTGGCTGAAACTAGGATCCTACTAGGGAATTTGGCGTCATTTAATGTGTCATGTTAACACATGTTTTGCTTCAGTTTTGTTTTTAAACTTCTGTTTGGTTCTCCTACAACCCTAATCCTACTGCACTGTTTACTGAATATTCCATCTGTCAATTGTATTGACTCACTCTGTGTAATCTGCCTTGAGTCCAAGTGAGAGAGGTGGACTATAATTAACATATATAAATAAAATGTTCTTTGGCCTATAGTTTCCAAAGCATAGACTGGGTATGCTTCACCCATATATTCTTTGCCAAGACTCGTTGCAGCACCAGTGTTGAAGGGATGGGTGGCAGAGTGCTGGGCAAACGAAACTGCACCATGTTTGGGTAAAACAGGCCACAATTTTTATTGATTACAGCTGGAAAGTTTTGGCTTGGCATAGGGAAATGGACCTGAGGTGTCAAGTGACCCACCTGCCACTTGATGTGAAACCCTGCCCATCAGCCCACCTGCTGAAGGAGTAAACCTAGGATGACAGCAATATGGGAGCACCTGGACACAAGCTATGGTGTGATCCCCTTGCCACCAGGGTGTGCGTGAGACCAGCATCCCCTGAGCTGAGCATTCCTCTTTATCACATGCCCCCACAGACCCTTTATAGGGCCCCACTCAGGGTGCTGGGCATGCAGGCCTGATCTTTCTTCCATAAGGATCCACCCCAATGCAAAAACTGCCTGCGAGTTGTAACAATGGTAAAAGAGAACGCAACAAATGACAAAGAAAACAAAAACACAACACAACTGGCTATAGATACAACCAGCCTTCACTCTCTCAGACAGCAACACATCTGTTTCTAACATCACCAGGTTTAGTTAATTCAGCTCCCCTTTCTCTCATAAGAAGCTTGCTTCAGCACAGGGCTGATCCCAGATTTTCCTCCCCATTGGAGGATCCAGCCGTCAAAGCCCAGGCAAAATCTCTAACGCAGCAAGAGCGGAACCATGACTCCCCGCCTTTCCATTGAAGCTTTAAACACTCAAACATACTAATTTCTGGGACTGATGAATCACTCGCTGTGATTATCAATGATTACAGGCTGGGGAAACTAATCACACTTGTTGTCCCTGATGAATGAATACTGATGAAGCCATTGACAAGAAGGGGGGGGGGAGGGAAATCCACGGGCTTTCATTCATCAGTTCTTCCTTACTTATCTAGCCTGGGAAGAATCATAATGCGGGCTGAAAAAAGCATGGCTGGCTGTGCAAAGAACAGAGATTCAGCATTGCCATTCTGGTGTCACTCGCAGCCAGACATTGCAAAGTGGGGGAGAGGGGAGGGGTTCTTTATAAGACAAATAATAAAAATAACAATAATAGAGAAGCCCAGGTGCAAGGGCATTAGAGCACTGTTATGATTCTTGGTGTCCCACCATTTTGGCAGACATCCAGTGGAACATATCAGGACGAGCCACTGTAATGTCTATGATGGCAAATGAAGCAGAGGTAGCCAGTTAGGGAGCACGGAGGCAGCATAAACATATGGAGCAGAGGTCCATCAGTGGCTATTAGCCACAAGGTATATATAGGAACTCTCGGTCTGGGGCAAGAGATGTATTGTATTCTTGGTGCTTTGGGGGGCAACAGTGGGAGGGCTTCTGGTGTCCTGGCCGCACTGCTGGACCTCCTGATGGCACCTGGTATTTTTGGCCACTGTGTGACAGAGTGTTGGACTGGCTGGGCCATTGACCTGATCCAACGTTGATTTCTCTTATGTTCTTATGACAGTTGAGTGGCCAGCATGGTGTTAACTTGCAACCAAGGACCAGAGGATCTCTTCTTGTGCTATTGAGGGGTTACAGGGGACCTCAAAATATGTCTGGAGGCTGAGCAGGTCTGGGGAGGCACATTTTCAAAATCAGTAATAATTATTACAAGTAAGGGGACCCGCGATAATCGCGGGGGGGGGGAGAGAAGAGC